GCTGATACCAAATTTTGTAACTTCGTGTAAACCCGTTCAAATATAGATGAGTCCAAACATCCCACTCTTTTATAACCTTTCTATTTTTACAAGTAGAGCAAGGACATCTTAACATACCCGTTTTTGCTTCCGGTTGTCGTTGAACTACCGCCATGAATTCCCTAATGCCTTTAAGGTATTCTTCCGTAAGTAATTTCGTTTCGGGATCCAAATGAGGTCGATCCATCCACGAATGATAATAATTTGAAGAAGACATGTTTTTGTGAACCAGATTCGTGTGTATAAGTGAGAGGATGAGAATATTGAGTGAATGAAAGGAGAGGAGGGGTGCTTGTATTTATAGATGAAATTCTGCCGACGATTCCGATGAAATTCCGACGGAAAACTAGTATTCCGTCGGAATTTCGTCGGAATATACAACGGCTAGAAATATCCATCGGAATTTCGTCGGAATATACAACGGTCATAAATATCCCTCGGAATTCCGTCGGAATATTCCGATGAAATTCCGAGGAAAATTTAAAATCCTCGGAATTTTCGAACTTTTCCAACGGCTATAATTTATCCTCGGAATGTCTTCGGTTTATCCCGACGGAATATATGTTCCTCGGAATGTCGTCGGAATATTCCGACGGAATTCCGAGAAAACATAAAATTTGTGTTTCGTCGGAATTCCATCGGAATCCCATCGGAATTTTCCGAGGAACTGCGTGGCCGTCGGAATTTTCCTCGGAATGAGCCATGTTTTCTTGTAGGCTTCAATTTGAGAAACAAAAGAATGGAGAATAAGTCTGCTGATTTGCGATTTTGCAAAAGTCAACAAGACTATGACTGAATAAATATCTTTTTCTTCAAGTCGTGAATAAAGAAGTTATGCATGAAACGTTGTTGTACTGCGATTTTTGCAGAAACAACACGATGGATCGAAAGATTTTTTGATTTTATATTTTTTTTTCTTGCTCTGATACCTTTACAAATTGATGAGAGTAACAAACACAAAAGTGTTTATGGAAGAATTATATTAGACTCTCATAAAAATAAATATTACAAGATGCATTATTTATTTAGAGATAAGTCAATATAATTTCCTAAACTAATATGGAATACTATATAATAGATAATGATTAACTTCCTATTCTAACATATTGATGTATCCTAATATTGACCATTAGATTAGGTCGATCTTCTTGATCTCCCAATAGTTGAAGAGCTTCATCACATCTTAGAGTTCTGACTTCATACACATTAGTCACTCCCGCGTCAACAAGCAAATTCTTGTCTTGGCTAATAAGAATAATTTTGCTTCCTGGAGCAAACAATTTGGCGTATTCAATGATCCACTTCCCTTGTTCGATGTTGTTCACATCATCAGCAATAAGGAGAACTTTCCGGTTTTTACGCTTTGCTTCGGTAACTTCATGCCAAACGTGATCTGAACTTGTTATTAAAGTTGTATCTTCCCCACTTTCAAATTTTAGAATCTTGTCTTCCAAGTTTTCAAGGAAAATATGTCTCTGAAAATCTACGGAGATGTTTGCATAAACGTACCGTGCAAGTGTTGTCTTCCCAACACCTGCCCTACCCCAAATGCCGATGGCACTAACCTCTTTGTTAAGTTCTGAAGCCAACAACAAGTCATGAACCACTTTCATATGACGATCCATTGCAACAAACAGCCAACAAGGGCATTCAAATGGCTTGATGTGAAAGTAAGAACTAGTAGATAAATGTCATGAGCAATTTTCTTGGTCTGATCTAACTGGCACATACCCAAAAGATTCTGAGGAAATGGATGCTTGGTGGCGATGTTGGCCAGTTTTGTAAGAGCAGCTCTCCAACTTGGCGCCTTGTCAGGGTATTTTTGGCAATTATTTTCGTCCAGATCAAAAGAGAAAGCTGCGAGGAAGATGGGTATGACGGTGAGTAAACCCTTCTCTTGTAATTCGAGTATTGCAATGAGCTCTTCCAGGAACCCTGGGATACAAGGTTTCGTCTTCGAAGTCATCACAACAGCAAATTTAGAGACTTCCAAAGCCTTGAGTGTCTCTCTATTAGCTGCTGGTAAGACGCTTTTCTGGACGCATCTGGTAGATAAAAAAGTTTGAATGCCATTTTGATGCAATTCAAATCTAAGATCTTCGTGCCTATAGCCGCCGCAGAAACTCAGGAAGACATCCACTTCGCTTCCTGCTCTAAAAGAAGAAGAAGAAGAAGAAGAAGACATTGGTTTGGTTCTAACAATGTCAGGATGCTTTAGTTTGTGGGTGAATTCTGTATGAGACCAAACCATCTAACTTTTCTTGTCTCACCTTTGTCCTGAGGCATGATAGAACGAATACCACACAAAAATATTAAAATTTGTTTTTAACAAATCATCAATTGTGTGTGTGTGAATGCTTAAAGATAATGGTGATGATATCTTTTTTTCTTTGTTAAAATATCTTCTTGTCTTTGTTGGATTATAATTAAATAATATACGTAAAAGGTTGCAAGTTGAAACTAGGGTCAAACTAAACTGCTGTCGTATAATCCCAGTTGTGCAAATTTAAGAAAGGTGCTTTTACAACCAAGTCTTTCAAACATGGCTTCCTCATCCAGATCTCGTGAATGTGAATCCAAGTATGATGTCTTCCTCAGTTTCCGAGGTGTAGACACACGTCTTTCCATCGTCAGCCATTTGTACGAAGAACTTGTTAGCAGAGGTCTGGTCACCTTCAAAGACGACAAAAGGCTTGAGATAGGCGATAACATATCTGACGAACTACACAGAGCCATACAAGGTTTAAATAATGTCATCGTCCTTCTTTCGGAGAAGTACGCTACTTCCAGGTGGTGTTTGATGGAGCTCCAATTGATAATGGAGCTTCAAAGGGAGGGGAGACTCAGAGTCCTTCCCGTCTTCTATAAAGTTGAACCCTCTGACGTGAGGCATCAGAGAGAATGTTTCAATCTAGAAAGGTACAAAGGTACCGAGATGGCGCCCATGTGGGGAGAAGCTCTTAATCAGATCGCAAATCTTTCAGGCGTGGAATTCAAATCCTGGTTAGCATTCATTTTTATCTTTTACCCTCACAGAAACCTAATTTTTTAGTATAAAATCGGTTTGAAAGCTATATTTTTAGTGTGATCAAATGCTCTATGTTTACTTTAGACTTTTAATGTTTTGCTTTTATTCAATGATGACAATGGCATTAACCGAAAGCTAAACAAGTTGAATACACGACCCGGTCATTTATTTACTGCAACCAGGTCTTGCTAAAATTTAAAGAAAACTCCAACGGCTACTCTAGTCTCAAGCTTATCTTCAACTGAGTATAACCATAGTTTTCTCTTTACCTTTTCAAAAAACTTCTGGTCTTAATGACTTTGTAAAGATCTCTGCAATTTGTTTATATGATCCAACAGACCTCAAGATACACCTTACCATTTTTTGTTGAAATAGATACACCTGACCATCTATGACCGAATCTCTAAGAAAATGAAAATGAAAATGAACACCTATATTTGCTCGCATCTTTAGAAAGTTCTATACAGTAGAACCTCTATAAATTAATACTCGATAAATTAATATACACTAAATATCTCTATAAAATAATATAATTTTATAGTCCCAAATTGCATTTTTGGTTCGATTAGTATATCGATAAATTAATATCTCTCTAAATTAATAAAAAAAAATCAAATTGGTGTAGTCCCAACATTATTAATTTATAGAGGTTTCACTGTAGTTGAAGTTGGGGGTTGGGGGTGGATGTTCGGATTTGGATACCCATTTAAATAATATAAAAAAAATCTGTAAATTCAAATACATCTTATATTTTTCAAATATAAAGTAATATATAAATATAAATTTGAATAATATGACCAGACTTAAAATTAATATATAAAGTTAAAATGGTTAAAGTCAATGATATTCTTAACAAAATCTTACATGTAATTTATTATATAATTAATCATGTTAATTAGAGTTAAAGTGGTTAAACTGAGTGATACTTTTAATGATTTTTACATTTAATTAACATATAATTCGAAACAATTTTTATATTAAACATATCAGATTTATATGTTATATTAGATAATTGAAAAAAGATATTTTTAAAAAAGATAATTCTTATATATACTATATTTAGAAATTTTTTTAAGTATAATAATTAATCATAACTATCTTGTAAATGCAACAATTTCGAACATATATATATATATGTTATACAAACCACTTAATAACCTAAAAACCGTAACCACCCATATTTGCAAACTTCTAAAACTATATTGCAACCGCTGCGTTCGGATTTGGTATTTTTACCACCCTTACCTCTAGCATGTGTTAGCTTTAACACGTGGTCCTCTCCTGTTTGATTTATTGAATTTTCTGTTCTTGGAGATCTGATGACACTGCAACTCTTATAGCGAGAGATACTTTCAATATCCTTGGATTCTTCTATTGAAACCACCACATACAATGATAGCGACGAACTATCGCTATAACCAAATTGTCATTCCGTAAACAACAATATGTAATCCAAACGTAGAAGATCTCGACGAATCCTCAAACAAAATGAATCAATGTATTATTTTTTTCAAGACCAAGAGTTCAATACAATTTTTGGATAAAATGAGAAAAACAAACTCAAATTCTATTTAAGCTAGCTGTAACTCGCCCTCCAATTCACTGAGCCAACGGCTGCTCCAACTCGTTTGTTACATCAAAACAGCTGTCACACTCTTATTAGATACTCTTTTAAACACTCAACTCTTCTCTTCACACTTTCCTTCTTCGTTGCGTGTCACCCACGCTTCTACTATATCAAATCTTACTTCCATAGAAAACCTTGACCACAAGGTTTATGTCTGAAAAGTTGAAAACTTCTATTGAAGATCATAAATATACTCCCACATTGCTTCCTCTTCAGTCTGATTCATCCACTTAACCAACACCATAGTAGCTGCTGTCTGGTCTCTTGACCATTTTACGGCCTAACACACGTTCTGGCTGCTTCTCAATCTCGTCATCCATTATAGAAGGAAGTTGAGAACGCACTCCTACAGAACCAACCACTTTCTTCAATTGCGACACATGAAACACTGGATTTACCTGAGATGTAGCAGGTAAGTCTAAGCGATATGCTACTTTTCCATGTTTATCCAAGACTTTGTAAGACCCATAATACTTTGGAGCTATCTTCTGATTCACCCTACGCACCAAAGATTGTTGCCAATAAGGCTGCAATTTGACATAAAAAAAGTCTCTAATGTCAAAATCTCTTTCACTCATGTGCTGATCAGCTTGTTGCTTCATTCTATGCTGAGCTCGCATCAGATAAAATTTCAATAACAACAGCATTTTCTCTCTATCTTCCAAGCATCGCAACCACCAACACCTTAGATTTGCCTGGCAAGTAAGGAAGATGCACAATAGCTGTCTGGCCATATATGAAGATGTATGGTGCAGACGAAGCTGAAGTAGTTCATGAAGCACAACATGAACTACTGAGAGAAGTGCGGAGTCGTGAGAAGAGGAGGAAAAAGGAAAGAGACTATAATGGAGATATGAAGATATTCTTTATGGTGGGCTTTAAAGAATAGAAGTGAAGAGGAAGCAACCGATTTAGAAAGAGGAAGGTTGTCTTATTTTCTGAAATAGAAAATGAAAAGTTTCCATTAGGTAGAACTTAGGGTTTTCTCTCTAGGTATAAAGAGAGGGTCGACTGGGTTGTAGTCGGCCAACACACTGGGAAAAGCTTTTAGCAACAGAGAGTTTTGTGAGTCCGAGTAAGGTGAGACAAAAGTATAAGGGTTAGAAGTTATTCAGCGACTGTGGTAAGTCTTGAATAAATTAGGCTAGTCAACAAGTCAAGGTTGCCTTGAGCTTGATTGAGAATTGCTTTTAAGAGATCTTGTAAGAACCTTTTAAAATGATTTATCTAGTCGTATTTTCTTGAGAAGAATAATCATGTCTTATTGTGTGTTCTAGTTTCTGTACTGCACTACTCTTACACTTACAATTGGTATCAGAGCAGTTACTTGTGTTTTTTTTCTTAAACATGTAAGGATCCTGCGGAGAAAATGGACAGCTTTAAGGAGTTAGTGGCGCATTCCAAAGTCATCTTGGAAGTTGGAAACTATGGGTTCTGGAAAGCCAGAATGAAGGCAACAATCAAAGGAATTGATCCGCTTGCGTGGAAAGCAGTTGAGTCTGGTTGGAAACATCCTGTTGCACGGGGTGAAGGTGGTGAAGATGTTCCTAAAGCAGAAGAGCTGTGGACTGAAGAAGAGAACAAATTCGCAAAGTTCAATGCACGGGCTCTCACTGCTATTCACTGCAGTGTAGCAAGGAAGCAATTTGAACTGATTCAGAGATGTGAGTCAGCAAAGGAAGCTTGGGATATTCTTCAGAGACACTTTGAAGGAACTAAGAAGGTGTTAAGTTCGAGAAGGGATATGCTGGATACTCGCTTTGAATACCTAAAGATGGATGAGAATGAATCGATTGCTGATTTCAGTTCCAAGCTAAGTTCTCTGGCTCAAGAGGCTCTCACTCTCGGAAATAAGTACAAAGAGAAGAAAATGGTGAAGAAGTTCCTGAGGTGTCTTCCAGAGAGGTTCAGAGGCCATAAATCATCCATGGAAGTTGCTCTCAACACTGATGACATAAGCTATGATGAGGTAGTAGGAATGATGCAAACTCATGAGATGGAGCTGGACAGTGGAAAGAAAGTAAAAGGAATTGCACTTACGTCAATTGAAAACTATGATGTAGGTGACGATCCACTGAGTCTACTCGTTCGGAGGTTTGACAGAGCACTCAGGAAAGTGGATCAAGGACAATCCTACAAGAATTTCAATTCAAAGACCAAGACGGGTGACTCTGACAAAACCATCAAGAGGTTTGATGTGAAGTACTACGAGTGCAAAGGTTTCGGACATGTGTGAACTGATTTCCCCACAGTGAAGAGGAGAGAATTTCAGTGTTTCGGGTGCAAAGGATTCAGTCACACTCAAGCTGAATGTGAAACTGACGGCAATAAGAAGAAAGAGAAATCGCTGATTGGGATCGATGACAGTGACTTCGATAGCGACAGTGAAGAAGAACTAAATAACTTTGTGGCATTTTTGGGGATTACTGAATTCGAGTCTGACTCTGAGAGCGAGAGTGAATCTGAGAAAGAGTTAACCGAAAGCTACAAAGAGATACGTGAGACAGTTTTGAGACTTGGAGCTGAGAATAAGGCACTTGAGAAAGCTAAGGAAAGTCTTGAAGCAGAACTGGAAAAAGTCTGACTCGAACTTCAAACGGAAACTGAGCTTGCTAAAGAAAGTGTGAAGCTCATAAAAGAAAAGCTATTCCTTGCTAAACAAGCTGAAGATCTCAGACAAGAGGTGATAGTTGAGAAGAAACTCTCCTTAGAATTGCAGTCGGAGTTGAACCAGCAATACAAGAAGATCAAGATGCTCACGGGTACCAAACAGCTCGACAAGATTCTATCACAAGGCAGAACAGAGAGCTCACACATGGGGCTTGGATACACTGGAAGACAAAGCAATGTCACAGGGATGACCAACTTTGTCTCAGGAGGATTCATGCATGCCAAGAAAACTGTAACAAGTAGTACTACAAGACAGTCTGATGGATACTACTTTTGTGGGAGGATTGGTCATTACAAACGATTTTGTCAGAAATATTTGGAGAAGGTCAGGCAAGTGTGGAAGCAACAAAAGTTCTGGAGAATTGGTAGTACAAATCGAGGTTGGATGAAGAAGGCAGATTTGTATCCTTCCGCTACTACAGGATCTGGCCTCAAATGTAGCATGGCACTGGTTACGGAAGATGATGATGCAGAAGCACCATGGTACTTTGACAGTGGATGCTCAAGACACATGACTGGAAACTCAGAGTACTTGGATAACCTAAAAAGGGTAAAAGGTGGAAAAGTCACTTTTGGAGATGGAGGACAAGGAGCTATCAAAGGAAAAGGTGCTACATGCGACAGTGAACTACATAAGCTAATGAACGTATACTTCGTCAAAGGTCTAAAAGACAATCT